GTTTAAAATGACACTAAGATTGGTTCCTCCTATTTTGTAACATATTTTATAATTCATATCATATAATAGTATTGGTAATTAAATTTAATAATAATTAATATTTTTAATTAGTATATATAATATTATTATATATATAATTTAAGTTTTATTTATAAAGATATTTTAGATATGCAATATGGATATCCAAAAGAAGATCGTCATACGATATGACTAATTTAATATATCAAAAATTGATAAAGAATAAAAAAAATTATCACGTTTTAAAATAGGTGTGTATAAAAGTTCAAATCTACACGGACTACCCCAAAGCATCAATTTTTGACACATAAAATTTCGGATCACCAAAAATCAACTTACAGAATCACGAAGTATTAGAAGTTGACTCGGTGTTGGGCAGACGAGCTAGGTGCAACGAGCGCTGGCGGGCGCACTGGTCGATAGTAGACGGTGCATCGGCTCGCGGTGCTGCTGCTGGCGACGGGCGTGGGTATGCTCGACAATGGGGGCAAGGTTTGTGCGTGGGGAATGCAGTGCACTCGGTGTGTTCGGTTGGTATTGGGCTCGCTGGGCACGGGTCCACCTGGTGTTGACCAGGCCAACTGGTCGAAAACTTTTTGATGAGTTTTCTGGCGAGTTCCCAGGTATTTCAGACAGCGTTAAGCATATTTTTTTTAAAAATGAGCTAAAATAAGCCACTCAAAATCACATTAAATAACCACAAAAATGTACTAAACAACTCTCTCACACTTAGCATTTTGTTTGTCCCCAAGCTAACAACATCACTCAAGTTTTGAAAAGATAAATTAATTTACTCGTTTTCAATGTTTCAATGTGTTCCTTACCCCGATAATTCTCATACTCGGAATCCGACTAAAAAGTACGTTCCTAAAATCTAGAAATATATATACAATATAGAATCATACAAAATAAAATACGTGAAAGTTCTTCCACACGTGGCCGACTCATCACAGGTCAAATTTAATTTAAAATTATCACACTTGAAATAACAATACAAAAATAAGTAAATCCACATTTCTTCTTAATATTAATGAGAATAACTACAGTTTCGTTACGGAATCATTCATATCTTTAACTGGGCTATACTCATTCCCAATTTTATATCTATGCAATGATTCGGCCAACTCGCAGGAAAAACCCCGTAAGATTATTATTTCCCATTTTCTTAATTGATAACCCCAAATAACAAATAAATAAACTAAATTCCAAAGAAACAAAAAAATGGAAAAATTGGATCTATGTTCAATGAATCACACCTAGTAAGAGTAAGAAAAAACCTTTTCCTTTGCTTCGGCATGTCATCACATATGAAATAACGGATTAAGGAAAAGTCTTTTGCTTTGCTTCGTCGGATAATGTGCAACTTCAAATTGTCAATTAGATAATTTTTCTTTCATTCATGAGATTACTATTTCCCATTTTATTAATTGATCTCAAATACGAAATAAATAAATTTTCCTTTCCTTCATGAATCTTGAAAAGAAAAAATAAAGTTTGGTAATTATTTTTTATTTTTTTTCACTTTTTTCTTGGTACTCATCAATTATCGATTTAATATTATATTAACATGTGAACAAAAGGAGGAAAATGTTTTAAATTCATATTATATGACCGAAAGGAAGATGATCAGATATAAAATATCACACGCAACACGGTAACATCACACGTTATCTCTAAAGTACACCAATAAATACATATACATACACGGCCCAACAAGCGTCTTTTACAATTTTTATTTCTCTGAATTTATTGGTCCAAAGACTCCAAACATAGCAACGACTTAAACTGGATTTCTGATTGACCTGGGCTGCCTTTAAATCACCGGTTCATCGGCCCAATTATTTTTATCACTTAATCAAGTATTGAGTCGGGTATTAATATTTAAAATTTTTAAATTGTAGTATTTTATATTGTTTTTATTCTATAACGATACATAAAAATAACAAAAATAAATAATGTATGCGCAAAACTAATATTTTGAAGAATCTAGAAGATTCTATGAAAGCAAAACACGCATGACACAACCATTTCAGCTAAAAGTAGTATAAGAATAAGGTATTGATCCACTATTTTTTATATTTGATTACATTTATTAACTTTACATAAAATTTATTCACGCTTTTAAAAGTGTCACGTGTTGAATTTGATATCATGAAATCACTCACGAAGTCACGATGCAAGATTCAATGCGTATGTAATTTCAATACATGACTTTTTTTTGAATGCAACGTTTTCGTGGAATTTTGTGACCGAAAACGTTTACGTACTCTAATTTTGAATGTGACGTTTTTTAAAATGCAATTTTATTATTATTGATTTTAGCTGTACAAAATGTAAGCGTTGTAAAAATATTCAATACGCTACGCTTTTATATATAAAGGAGTAAAGATGTTCAAGGAGATGCACCAAAGAGAAAGAAAAACAGGGCAAATATTAGAGAAGTAAAAAAAGGAGCCTTGTCCTTAGAAATTATTGTGATTAACACTTTTCTCTTTCCCAACAACGCTTTTATAGAACAATGAATCGTGTTTCTTTAACCTTGTTCACATGTTTTCTCATTATCTTACTCAAAGTTAAAACAGACACTGAGGTTGATGTAACGATACTCGAAAGTGCTACAGCAATTGGAGCAGGTAATAATCATTATTATTGTTATTTTTTATGTAACTTACTCTGAAGCAAACAAAATGTGATGCAAACTAAATTTTATTGTGATATTCAATTTTCATTTTATCTATATTTCTTTATTTTCGACAGTTTGTTTAGACGGTAGTCCGCCAAGCTACGCTATGGATCAGGGCTCTGGCTCTGGAAGCAGTAGTTGGGTGATTTTTATCGAGGTTTATTAATTTTCTAAAAAAATGTATTGTTTTCTCTTCATTTTTATCTATTGATTTATGAATTCTAATATTTATTTATATTTCAGGGAGGCGGATGGTGTTCGGTTATAGCTGATTGTGTTACGAGAGCTGGAACTTTTCAAGGAAGCAGCCTGTACAGAAATAAGTTCCGATTTACAGGAATACTTGACGTCAACTCAGAAGTCAATCCGGGTTAAAAATATATGCGCAAATATATCTTTAAATGATTTGAAACAATAATATATAATCAAAGATTTTGTTTGTAATTTCTAGATTCATGCATGAATGCATGGTTAATTAATATGTTTTTGAAAATTTCAGATTTTTACAATTGGAATCGGGTTGCTCTTCTGTACTGCGACGGATCTTCTTTCTTTGGAGATGTTGAGTATGTTGATCCTGTAAGTATGTTTTTACAATAATATTCAACAAAATGCTAACCAATTTTTAACATTTAATTAAAAAAAAAAAAAAAGTCAGTAGTTACACTATTTTTTGCAGCAAAACAAACTTTACTTTCGGGGCTCCAGAATTTTCAAAGCTATAATCCAAGAGCTGGTCGCGAAAGGGATGAATTTTGCGGATAATGTATTTCATCTCCTCCAATAATTTTATATGAAATGTTATTTTATTTTTATCTAATAACATAATCAAATTATATGATGTAACATTATGCAGATTATATTTTCTGGGGGCTCAGCTGGTGGCTTAGCAACAATTCTCAACTGCGATACCCTCCGTTTTCTTGCACCCGATGCAAAAAAAATTAAATGTGTATCAGACTCTGGTTTCTTCTTGCAAGCGTAAGTCTCGTACAACTAACTAATTGAACAGCTCAATATATATTGGACAAAACTGCAAATTTTCAACTAAATAATAAGGAACTGTTACTGATTTTTTTTATTTTTTTTATTTTTTTTTTGGTTGGATTATTGTTTTCTTAATAGTCCAAATCTACCAGGGGCGACGCAAAGAGAAACTTATTTCGGGCATATCGTTCAGCTACATGTAAATGTGACCCTCTAATTTCATATTTATGTCAATGTTAAGAGAGCACATTTTAATTATTGAAATGCTAAATAAATAACAATAGAAATATTAGATTCTTGATCGATATTTATTGATCTTATGTATAAATGTCTCTCCAGGGACTAGAAGATTTTTTGCCTCAATCCTGCAGGTCTAGGATGAATCCTGGTTTGGTGAGAGATAATAATAATAATAATAATAACTAATTTTAGACTCGAGAAGAAAAAATTATTGTTTAATTCCCAGAGATAAAAGGTCGGTTAATTTGAATTGTAACAATTTGATTTATGTTAACAGTGCCTTTTTCCTGAAAATATTGTTGAAGATATTCAAACGCCTCTGTTTCTCATTGAGTCGTCATTTGATGCATTCCAAGTAAGTTAGTTAGTTATAAGGTAGTCTTAAAACATTTTGAAATCCACATTTTTCAAAATATATATATATATGTGTGTTGCAATTGAATTTTGTGAATTGCAGGTAGAAAGCCAATATACACCATATGTTGGTGGTGGGAGAACAGAATGGTACGATTGTGTGAATGTGAGTCTATCGTTATGCAACTCGACTCAGCTGGAGAAATTGCAGGGTAATTAACGTTACTCTTTTTCAGTACCGTTAAATTTGAAAAAAATATTCACATAATTTTTACCGTTAATTTCAGAATTTCACACGACATTCATACAAACACTCCAAAATTTGGTGTATTCGCACTCCAGAGGAATGTTTGTCCATAACTGCTATCGACATGGCCAAATCCTCGCAAACGATGGCTGGAAGTTTTCCGACACCTTGGAAAATAAAGTAAAAAGTTTTGTTAATTATTTTCACTTGATTAATTAACTTTAGGTTGATATTTGAATTTTATCCAAAATATGACAAAATTATTAATCATCATTTAATCTTTACTTTCATATCTGTATGGGTTGTACTTTGCAGACAATTGCAGATGCAATGAGGGACTGGTACTTTGATGATGCAGATGCTTTTGTTTACATAGATACAACTAATTCTCCAAGGAATTGTACTCTTTGACTCTTTGTTTACATAGTAATATAACTGAAGACCAACAGTTGTTGAATAATAGAGCCATCAATTATTTGGAAAATTTTCCCTCAAATTCGAACAAGCAGTTTTACTATGGGTATGTAATTATTAAATATATTTTAATTTTTTATCTAAGAATTTGTGGCCATATATGTCTACTGCAATGTGTTTATCACTATGGAGAATTGGAGAACAACTGCTATTTTATGAGGTTGGTGAAGGACTCATAAATACGATTTTTAATGCAATGTATTTAAGTATAAAATTAAATGTTCCCTCATTAATAAAATTTTAAAACGTGTGTTATTTTTAAATCTATAAGGTAAGAGTCCATTCCCATTCATAAATTTGTTGTAAAAGAAGGGGAATTTTTTATCCCTCCTACACGATTTTAAAAAATTACAAGTCTACCATACACATGCAATTAATTGTGACTTATACCTAAAAAATAATAGTTATCTACATTAATGCATAATGGCAGTTACCAATTAATTCTAACCACTCTCCACGTGCATTTAATTTGACTGATTCAGTTACCATATCAATTCAACTTTCTCTTCTTCTTTTGCATGTGATTTGCGTCCATTTACCAAAAAATAAAAATGCTTTTTGAATTTTATTTTTAAAAAAGTTACGCAAATAATCACAAAAAAAATGTGTCAATTAAAATCAAGGTATATTTTTTACTCCTACCAGGTATATTTCATATATACTGTACATATATTGATCATATACTGTACATATACCACAACACAACACAAAACAGTAGACTCCATGAAAAATATACCAAAAATATACCTCAACCCAACACAACACAAAATAAATCGAATCATCCGAAATCATCCTGAAGCAAAAATATACCAGAACACAACACAAAATATACTGAAAATATACTGAATATAAATCATCCTCCAGAAATCTCGTCGAGGGAGTAGGACTCGGTGGAGAATGGGTCGGCGTTGAAGGGGACGTACTTGGTGGAGAAGCCGTTCGCGGATGTTCTCACCTGCGGGGCGGCGGCGGTGGACCTTGGAGGGTTTTGTGTGAGAAAAGAGAGAAAGGACAAGAGAGAGGAGGGATAAAGGAGAGAGAGAATGAGAAGTTACCATGTAATTAGGGGGAAGAGGAGAGAGAATGAGAAGTTACCATATAATTAGAAAATTAGCTTTATGGGCATATATGCAAATAAATATAATAAATTTAGTTAATTTGTAAATAATTATATAAAAAATATAATTATGTAATATTTTTATATTGTTTAAGTAGAGCGTGCAAATTCCTCTAAAAGAAGTGGACAAAATCAAGCAGGCTTAACATCTAAAACAACTTAAAAGGCAATAGTTACGAAAGTTGAAGTGGTCTTCAACTCTTCATATGTGTTATCTTCCTCATCATAACCACAATTGGTTAGCATCTCATCACCCCAAGCATATATGCTAATGTAACTAAACCTGTACACTAGCTATAGTTCTAGCATTCAGATTCGATACAATAAACTTGATGTAAATCGTGAAAGACTTGAATATGTGCATTTGGAGTCATCAATAAGAACAATACGCTAATGTACGAATAATGAGCTATTTTTTTAATTCTCGTAATGTAATTGTTATGTATGAGTTGTAATGCTTTGTATAGTCACTATGATTTTGGCAAAATAGTTTTTTTGTCCCTTAATAGACCATGTTTTCGCTTTTAGTCTCAGTAAAGGTCCATTTTAAAATAGTCATCCAGGTGAAAAAAAATTAGTTTTTTGCTCTAAAGTGCGTGTAGTAGGTCAGGTGAAAAAAAAAATTAGTCATCCAGGTGAAAAAAAATTAGTAGGTACATCTCTTTTTTATAAGAGGTCGATTGTTTCGATACAACATTAGCTTTATTTAAAAAAAAAAAAAACCCAAAATATTGAACCGATTGAACAATTTACAAAAATTAGTATTAGTAATTTATTAATTTAATATATATTTCGGTATCTTTAATGTGCACTTTAACCCACAAAATTGCGCNCTGCTCATCCGGCGCCACCGCCCGCTACTTGCCGCTTGATGTTTGGACAATGGCAGCTCCGAGAAAATGCCAGAGTGACCTTGTCGATCACTAGGTGCAGCAGTTTGCGGCCGCTGGCATCGTACTCGACGGCGACCTCGTCCCTCCAGCAGTTAGATTGTCCACGAAATCAAGACCTCAGATGACGGCGGCGTCGCAACGACGTGGACGGTGGGGTCCTGTGATAGCAGGAGGGCGGTATCTGGTCGTGATGTTCGACGGCGACGGTGATTGTTGGCTATGGCGGCGGCGACGAGACTGTTGTTTATGCCGTCGCTGGTGGCGGTCTGGCGCTGCGCAGCACCGGTAATAATGGTTGTCGGCATACTCAATTTGTGTGTGTGTGTTTCGCGACTATGTGTGTGTGTTTTTCTGTGATTGTGTGATGTGTGTGAGAGAGGAGAGAAAGTGAAAAGGTGAGTGTGTTGTGTGTGAGAGAGGGGGATGGGTAGGTGACGAGTGGGTGTGGTGGATGGTGGATGTGGATCCTACTGAGTTGGCATTATTTATAGTGACTAATTTACTTTTAATTTGTGGTCAAATATATATATTTGACTATAATATTACTATTTATTTACTATATTGATATTAATGATTGATAATTATTTATTAAAGTTTGACTTGATCATAACTATTAATGGGATGAATCTAATGATTCATAATCATTCTTATTTCTTTTATTGTGCTTCATTCTTATTTGAACGCACTTCTAAATATAGAAAATATAATATTACTTTGATAATCCTTGTTTATTAAGGAAATAAATCGAAGTGTTAGACAATAATATGGAAAATAAATCAGCGTTCCAAGTACCAAATCTTGGTAATACACTGTCTCCTGTCAACAATTCAAAATTTCAACAAAATAAGCAGATTAATAAAGGAAAGAACGTCGACTAATTAGGAATAGGAATAAGAATTAACATATAGATAACGACATAAATGGGAAAAGACCCAAAAGTAGAGCGGAGCGCATGCATTGCTCATTTTTTAGAGGAAACACCAAATCGTACAATTTAAGGAAAATTCTAGAGAGAGAAACGAGTTTGCAGAGTATTTTTCAACAGTCTGCAAAAAGTCCTATTACTCAAGAAAGATATTTTTCTGTCGTTCAAAATTTTTTGTGAGCATTTTAGAGATATGAGTTGTGATTTGAGTAATAAAGAGTGGCCTCCGTATTTGGATGAATATGAAAAGCTCGTTATTCGAATGTCCACGCCAAGGTCATCTTGTTAATTCCATCTTAGTCCTCTCTTTGTTGATTTACTGGTTTTTACATTACATTTGGCTGATTTTTTTTCTAGAGTAAAGTCCAATTGTTCAACATTTTTACTCTTTTGCAATCCTAAGACAACCCATTTTTTTTTTCAGGGTCATTATCGACAATGGCAGCGGCTCTAACGAGACCAGGCTAATGGTAACTTTAATATTCCAGACCCAATCGGTTTTTATTCGAACATTTTGTGTATATTTTGTAGTAATATTTAATTTAATTTAATTTTTTGCAGATTGATAGTGCCAGAAAACATGGGATCCTTCTAGAAGCCGTCCAAGTCCTGACGGATCTCAACCTGTCGATCAAGAAGGCCTACATCTGCTCCGACGGCCGGTGGTTCATGGACGGTGAGTTTCCCCCACGCGCCGCCTTAACTGCTCTATAAAATTATTCTTACAAGTAAAAACGATTTCTAACTCTGTTTTTATTCTCATTAAATTCCGGCAGTTTTTCATGTGACCGACTTGAATGGAAACAAACTAACCGATGACAGTGTCCTAGGCCGCATTCAACAGGTAATTCATTAAATAGTAAATACATCATAATAATGACATAAACATTATCCAAAAAAAATAAAAAATAATAAAATAATGAATTACCCTGTTTTTTGCAGTCGCTCGAGACTGTCCACTACGGCCAGCCCACGAGACCCAAGGGCCCGACGGCCTTGGAGCTAACGGGCACGGATCGGGTCGGGCTTTTATCCGAGGTTTTTGCCGTGCTTACTGAAATGAACTGCAACGTGGTTGAAGCTAAGGTGTGGGCCCACAATGGCCGGGTCGCGTCACTGATTTATGTCAAGGACCGCCACACAGGCTGCCCGATTGAAGACGAGGATAAATTAGACGCGATTGGGTGCGTAATAAGGAACGTGCTTAAGGGGGACGATATTGACACGATTTGGAGCGCGAAAACCTCAGTTTCGTGTGCCGTGACTCATACGGAGAGGAGGCTACATCAGCTGATGTTTGCCGACCGAGACTACGACAAGGAGGCCTCGGGTGGACCCGGTTCGTGCCCGAGTGTCTCGGTTAGGAATTATTTGGAGAAAGATTATTCGGTCGTGAATGTTCAGTGTCGGGACCGGAACAAGCTCTTGTTTGATGTTGTTTGCGCGTTGACCGACATGGATTACGTCGTTTTCCATGCCACGGTCGACACGTCGGAGGATTCGGCATCTATGGTACTTTCCTTTTTAAGTGTCATTATTTTCAAATTTGAACTTAAAACTTTTGTGGTGCGATATTTTGTTGTGTAGACCTCTCTTTGGATTCGGCTGTATATATAGTTGCTATAGCCTGGCTGTTACTAGTTGTTTTCTGAATTGTAAATATGTGTGTATTTATAAAATCTGTAGCTGTTAAACTTTTGTATTTTTGTTGTGTTAGTGATTTAAGTTATTGTTTCGATTCAGGAATTTTTCATCAGGCGTACGGACGGAATGCCGATTAGCTCGGAGGCCGAAAAGGAGCGTTTGATACTCTGTCTGCAGGCTGCGATCGAGCGTAGGTCATCGAAGGTATCATTTTTTCTTTAACATGTCCTCCTTTTTTTTAATAACATTGGTTAATTGTTATTTAAATGTTGTTTTCCCGCCTTTTTTTTATCACGCAGGGCGTGAGGCTCGAGCTTTGTGCGGCCGATAGAAACGGGCTTCTAGCGGACGTGACACGAGCTTTCCGTGAAAATGGGCTAAGCATCGCACGTGCGGAAATATCGACATCTTGGGATATGGCTCGAAACGTATTCTACGTGACGGATGCAGTAGGGAACACGGTCGACCCTGAGATTGTAGAGTTGGTGAGAGAAAAGGTCGGTTTTGAGGATTTGAAAATTACAAAAACGCCCTCCGAGTGTGGTCGGAAGATCGAGAGGGAGTCCCCACGGATGGGGACAGGTGGCGCCGTTATGCTTTCGATCGAGAGCATGGTAAGGAAGAACCTGAATTATCTTGGGCTGATTAAGTCTTGAGGTGAAAAAGTCATATAGATGGATTGTGTTCTTGATTGAATTAATGGGCATTTGTACATTCATAGTGAAGGAAATTTAGAGACAGGGACTAGGTGAAGTTAGTTTGGATTGTACATAAATAGTAAAGGGAATATCACTTTTGGAGGGAAGGGAAAAATTGAAAATAGTTAAATGAGTGGCAGATATAAAGAAAACTGGAGTTAGTGGGTGTCACATATGAAAATCCTTTTGGACATATTATCTTGGCATTATTATTTTTTTTAGTCTCATTTTAGTCTATTGACCATTTTTTTCCTTCTAAATAGTTGTTTGTTTATTTAATTATATATTCTGTTGCCTGTTGTAAATTACTAGAGTTACTAGCCTGGGTTTTCGTGTTCAAATTCATTCGTTAGAGACGGGTCCCCCTAACAATAGGTGTGTTTGAGGTTTTGCCATTTTTTGCAGTTCATTGACTTCGTTGAAAGGGACACAGTAGAAATCAAAAGCTGTTGTATTTATGCACTTTCTAAAAGGCCACAAACTGAAAATGATCTCATGACTATGACAACGTTGACACCAGAAAATGCTCGTTAAAATAATGGTGAAAGTTTTTTCTAAGCACGGAGTCAATCTTGGAGACCTCGGAGTCGAATAACTAAAGTGATTTTATTCTCAAGATCACTAAATTTTTCTAAGTATGGCGTTAATATGGAGACTTCGTAGAAGAACGATTGAAATGATTTTTTCTTACAATTGTAAATTTTTTCTAAGTGTTGAGTCACTTTTGGATACCTCACTGCAGTGGCGAAACCAGGATCCCAGCACGGGGAGAGCCCAGATTCATCTTCTTCCGGGCCTCCGGCGGCATTGGAAGGGCGCTCAAAGAGCGCCCTTCCATTTCCAGCCCCTTCGATTGCCTCAACCTCTCACCAAAACTCCCAAATTTTTTTTTTGGGAGGGCCGGCGCCACTCCGACTCTCAATGTGGTTTCGCCACTGCCTCACTGGCAAGTCGACTGATTAAGGCAACTTTAATGTCAATGGCCAAAATTTCTAAGTATGGAGTCTATTTCGGAGACCTCGGTGTTATGTTGATTAAGATGATTTTAATTGCGAGCGCAAGTATAGAATTAATCGTATAGATCTCAGAGGTAGGTTGAGTTTATAGAGTACCAGGTTTTGATAACATTTCAAACATCAAAAAAATGCACAGATCTCAGAGGTAGGTTGAGTTTATAGAGTACCAGGTTTTGATAACATTTCAAACATCAAAAAAATGCGAAGTATGAGTGCAAGTGAAGACGACCCTAGTGTACAAGCCAAAGCAATTAGAATAAGCAATATGAAGAACCAACAATATCGTTATAGCGTTACAAAGATGGTCGTTACAAGAAGTACAAAACATTCCAAGAGATAACAAAATAAGATTACAATATAAATCGATGTACGAAGAAGGAGAAGCGACTATTCCCTCGACGGCAGCCTGATCGGCTATTGGCTCGACCGTCGCGAAGGTGATAGGGGCTTGAGGATTAGCTTCGACAATAGGCTCAACGGCAGTCACAACAACTTCAACAACCTCGATCGCAGGCTCAGAAAAAAGTTGATTGGATTATGTTTGAGTGTAATTATTAGTTTGTATAAAAATAATATTTCAAATAAAATGATTAAAATTGATTTGATGTAAAAGTAGAAAAATGTGATTGGAAATGATAAGAGCATGATTGGATACAAGTTCAATCCAATTTTTTTTTCATTTTTAACTCAACCACTTTTTTTAACTCAACTTTAACTCAACCCACTATCATTAATATTATCAATATAATTAAATAATATCAATCAATCATTCTTACACACAACATCAACCTTAATTCACTATTCATCTACTCACATAAATTTAACAAACTATCACATCATATCTTATCTCTCTTACTTTTACATCAATTTAATTTTAATCATTTTTTTAAATATTATTTTATTATATCCACTAATAACTAACCATACCTACTTTTTCAAATTTAACCAACCCAAATCAAAAATCCAATCAAAACAAAAACAAATTTATATCCAATCATGCTCTAAGTAATTCAAATTATGTTAGTGAATGAATAGTCAATTAAAATTTATGCGATGTGAAGGATGATGGATTGATATTATTTAATTATATTGATAATAATTAGTAATCTTAAGTTAAATTTGACTTGAAATTGAATATTATGGTTGATTTTTTTTTTTTAACAAGCAAACACTTACGGCGTGAATGGTTGCAAGTTAAAACTCC